ACCTCCTTCGTAACCTCTACCGGCATACACATTCCCAGCGTCGTCGCGCCGAACAACCACCTCGATAGTGCCGAAGGTCCCCGAGCAGCGGGTCGCGCTCGAGGGTCGAAAGGCGGCGGGCGGACCCCCGCGCTGCCGACCGCTGGGCCTCTCGAACCCATGCGAGCCCGCACGAACAGCACCTCGTCGTACGCATAGGCCGCGTCCTTCAGCGCAGGCATCGTCATCAGCTCCGGGTTGCCGTCCGTCGGCACCTCGCGATGGCGCACGTAGTCCACCAGCTCGGCCATGTTCTTGAGTCCCAGAGCAGGAAGCACCCGCATGCGCCTCCTTGTCCCATTGGATAAGACTGAGCTCGGTGTCCCAAGGGCCGGGCTGCCTGCTGGCCCGGCGGAGCCTCAAGCTCCAGGCGACACGCCCGCGCTCGCAAGCGCCTCGCCTTCCTCCTGTGGGGTCCTCCTTCTCTGCATCGCGCCCTGCCCCATCAATCGGTCAATCAGCCCCGTGACACTCAAATGCTCCGCCCGCGGGATCTCCAGCACTGTCGCCATGTCCCCCAGCACATCCCGGGGGACACGTAGGAGCTGATCCCGATCACAAAACAGTGGCCGGCCTTCGGATACAGTCGGCCTTGGCCTCTCTGGCCCCGGCTCCCAGTAGAGCCGGGCGACCGCGTTCCTCGGCGGGTCGAGCTTTTCGAACATCTCCTCGTTAGATAGCCCCATCGATCCACCGCAGGTCCTCGATGATGCCGCCCGCATCCATGCGGAACGTCTCTCGGGCCCTCACCAGCTTCCAGTTCGGCCCGTCTCGGTTCGAGGACTTGAGCGCCCTCGCGCTGTAGTCCTGTCGCTCCCACATCTCGAGGCCAGAGACGTCGACCTCGCCGTCGGGCATGGCCCAGTCGCCCTCATCCTCGGGAACGGGAACCACGTCCTCGACCTCCGCGGCCCGCCGGTCTGCCGCACGGGCAGCCAACTCCGACTTCGCCGTCATCCGCGCTTCCTGCACCTTGGACTTGACGCGGAACACCGCCTCCGCCGCCGGGGCCCCCGACGGGGGTTCCCAGCTGTCACGCAGGAAGATCGGCATCGAGTAGCGCCCGCCGTCGGTCTCGTTCAGCAACTTCGGCGCGATGCCGAGCTGGCCCGACTTGAACGAGTTCTCCGCGAAGTTGACGTCTGCTCCCACGCCGCACAGCGCCCTTCCCGATGAGAACTGCAGCACCGAACCCTCGATGACCGAGAAGGTCGGGTAGGCGCCCACACCGAAGACCGACGCCGGCGCAGTCTAGCGCCCCTTTGAGATCTGCTTCTGGCCATTCCCGAAGCGGAAGATCGCGAGCTGCGGCCCCTCCTCGACGCAGCTCTCGACGCCCAGCTCCTTGCAGCGATCCTCGAGCCTCTTGGCGCACACGTCGCCCGACACCGTGCTGTTGCAGGCTGAGTCAAGCGCGCCGTCGTCTCCTTGGCCCCCGATGGACGCCGCTGAAAGCAACCTCCTGAATGGCTCGCTCGTCCCTTGACCCATCCGAGGGCATCGGACCGGCAGATGAACGGGGGCGCAGCGCAGCACCAAGGCCTGGGCCATCCGCCGACCCTGCGCTATGGTCGACGGAAGGAGAGGGGGCACCACTCCCCATCCCAGGAACTGGCCCATCTGCCGGCCCTCCGCCAACGGAAGAAGAGGGGGCACCACTCCCCATGCCAAGGGCTCGCGTCGCCATCAAGACTTCATACGAACGGGTCGCGCTTGTCAAGGCGTCATCCTCCGCTGCCTGCTGACCGGCGCCCTCGTAGATCTCTGTGTAGTCCCGCCCGCACATCGCGCACCGGACATCACGATCATCTCCCTCGTAGACGCAGTCCGGGCAGAACGGCGGGTAGTCCAGGTGACTGCGCTTGGTATCCGTCTCCTCGGCCTCCGGGTTGCCCGTGACCTCGAACGCCGGCGCCACGCGCTGCTCGTGCCCGAAATTGCCGGTCATCAGCACTTCGAACACGTCCTTCTGAATCATTGTTGTCTGCGCGTCCAGAACTTCTGGCGCCTGCAGCAGGCCCACCACCATCGCGCCCTTCGGCTTGAACCGCTGCTGCAGCTTCTTCTTGGCCCGTTCGGCCCTCCACTCTTTGAGCTTCGGGCAGCGCGCATCTCCGGCCCAGCGACCCTTCTCGCCGCAGGCGTGGCAGTCCGAGTTCTTTTTGTCGGGACTGCTCATGCCGAAGCTCGTCATGAACTTTTTGCCGCTGCTCGACCTCGAGCCTGAGTCTCTGCCACCGCCCTCGCCGCCAAAATTGCGGCCCTCAGGAAGCTCCTTCACGCGCTTCTTGCTCTCCCGCACCGTGATGAGGCCCTCCATCATCGATTCCGCGCCGCTCTCTAAGTTCCCGAGCTCCTGGACCAACTCGGGATCGTTCTCGGCCTCCTCGAGCACAGTCGAGAGCGCCTCCAGCTCGGCGGCGAGGATGCCCTCGACGTGGTGATCCTGCTCGGTCGTCAACACCTCGTCCACCGTGTCGTCGTCGGCGTCACCGTCGAAGCTGCCGAGCTCCGCATTCAGCGCCTCGAGCTCGCCCTCGTCTAGCTGGCTGAGCCCGTCGAGGTCCTCCGTCACGTGCGCCTCCTTGAACTTCCGAATCACCTTCTTCTTCAAGAGCTGCGTCCCCGGACGATTGAAGGTGATCGTCCTCCTGCTGCGGTCGAACGGACTAGGTCGCCGCTCAGTCATGTGCAGATTGGGGAACACCCGCATCATGGTTGGCACCACCTCGCGAATCTCCATGCTGCCGCCGGTCGAGGTCATCAACATGCTCTTCTGCGTCTCGTTCAGGCCGGTCTTCTCGATGAGCCACCAGCCCGCCGTCCTCGGCGGCAGGGCCACGTCACATCCTCTTCGTCCAGCTGGCTCCGAGCTTCACCGAACCTGATCATCCACGCATTCAAGTCCTCGCCGGCCCTGCGGTGCAGCTGCTTATAGAAGTAGTTCATCACATGGCCGCGCCGCGTCGGTTCGTCAACCCCCATCGTCGCGAGCACCTCCATCAGCCAGTTGATGCCCGCCATGCTATCGGGCTCCTCCCAGTGGCCGGACTCCTCGTCCTGCTGCTGGTTTTCCGTTTCCTCGGCCTCCGGATGGCCCGTGACCTCGTCGCGCACCAAGGTCCAGGGCTTCGCGCGCAACTCCACCATCGGGATCGACTCCCCGAGCGTCTTCGCGGGGCCCGTCAGGCAACGCACCATCCTGGCCGCCCAGCTCCAGGAAACGTCCAGGTTGATACCTTCGATCCACAGCGCCACATCCTTCTTGTACCGCCGCCACTTGTTCGGGCTGCCGTCCCAGCTAGGTATGCCCTCCAGGTCGCGGCTCGCCCATGCCGGCGTCCACGCCGGCCCCTGCACCCAGCTGGTGGAGCTCCTTCTCTCCTGCCAGGTGCCGTTTCCTCCACCATGCCGTGGCGGAAGGGCGTCTGGTGAGAGCGTGCCGCCGCCCATCGCCGGGAACCGCCCTGGAGTCGATGAAGGCCTCATCGCTCCTCGTCGTCGTCGCGTACTCGGTCTCGTACTCGTGGAAGTCGAACTTCACGTAGTCGCCGCCCTCGTTCAGCACAGAACTTTCTTGGCAGCTGCTGCTCTCCGTGTCTATGGCGCGCCTCAGCGCTCCGCTACCACTGCGGAACTGAGGGATACAAGACTCCTGCCCCTCCCAGTTCCACAGCGGGGTCTGGCGGCGGGGCGTGGCAGCGCCCGAGGGGCAGATGGTCTTTCTCAACCTCGTGCTCACGCGTCTGTAGCACAATTTCGCCTCAAGCCGGCCCGAGCCGAGCCGGCTGCAAGAAAGAAAGAGAGGAGAGGGGGACAGAAGGGAACAGGAGAGGGTCATAAGGGTCTTAAAAGGCGGGAGCAGGGAACAGATCCAATCCGAAAGGCTCGTCTTTCCTCACCCTCTTGGAGGCCTCTTCCTCTATATTGGAGCGGTATTGGAAGCCTCTTGGGCCGTCTTGGAGCATCGGGATGCCAAAAGGCCGAAAACATTAAAACCCGTCAAAGCCCAATCGTAAAACAATGAGT